CGATTGAACGCGAAAACCATTCCCGATCGTTACCCGTTGCCTCACATTCACGATTTGACAGCTACCTTGAAAGGTACAACTGTCTTTTCGAAAATCGACTTGGTTAAAGCGTATAACCAAATCCCTATGGCTACTGACGACATACCGAAAACAGCTATCATAACTCCCTTCGGACTCTATGAATTTTTGCGAATGCCTTTCGGTCTAAGGAATGCTGCTCAAACATTCCAAAGATTCATAGACGACGTTTTTCGAGGTCTCAACTTCGTACACGCGTATGTTGACGACTGTCTAATCGCAAGTCCGGACAGAGAAACACATCTCAAGCATCTGGATCTTGTTTTCGAACGATTACAAAAACATGGCATAACTGTAAACGTTCAGAAATGCCAATTCGGAACCGACTCGTTAGACTTTCTGGGACACACTATCGATGCTCAAGGTATCCGACCCCTTAGAACCAAAGTGGCGGCCATTCTGGATTACCCAGAACCGACCACCGTCAAGCAATTACGCACGTTCAACGGCCTGGTAAGTTTCTATAGACGTTTCATACCGAAATGCGCATTACTTATGAAACCTCTGACCGACCAACTTCGTGGAAATGCGAAATCCATTAATTTGGACGACACCGCACGAAAAGCATTCTCCACAGTTAAGGAACTGATTGCTAAAGCAACAATGCTCGCACATCAGGACACCCGAGCACCCATTAGCATCGCAGTAGACGCATCCGACTCAGCAATCGGAGGAGTCTTACAACAATGGGTTAACAACTCCTGGCAACCCTTGGCATTTTTCTCTAGAAGGTTGCTAGACACCGAATCGAGGTACAGCACATTCGGTAGGGAACTCCTAGCTATGTATTGTGCTGTACGGCATTTCCAACACTATATCGAAGGCCGTGAATTCACTCTTTTCACGGACCATAAACCGCTCACTTTCTCGTTAAGCTCTCCTTCTGACAAGTACTCTCCCCGTGAGTCTCGACAACTGGACTACATTTCGCAGTTTACTTCAGATATTCAACACATCTCTGGAGCAAACAATGTAGTTGCAGACGCCTTATCTCGCATAACTTCCTTGAACAGTTTCCAAGGAATCGACCTTCTTAAACTCGCCGAGCTTCAAAAAGAAGACACTGATCTTCAGCACGAGTTATCGTCCACAACACTTAAACTACGCATCAAACAGATGGGAACAGGTAAGGAAACCTTACTTTGTGACACATCTACAGGTAGGGATCGCCCAATCGTGCCGAAACATTATCGACGCAATGTCTTCAATACATTGCACAAACTTTCTCATCCAGGTGTTCGTGCAACCATCAAGCTTATAGCAGAACGATTTTGCTGGCCTGGCATGAATAAAGACGTGAGGGAGTGGGCACGCTCCTGTGTAAGCTGCCAAAAATCTAAGGTTATCAGACACAATAAATGTCCCTTAGGCTCGTTTAAAACTCCCGATGCTCGTTTCGACCATGTTCATCTGGATTTGGTAGGACCTTTACCAGATTCAAATGGATACTCTTATCTCTTAACCTGCGTAGACCGTTTCACTCGATGGCCAGAAGCAGTACCTATCAAGGACATCACTGCTGAAACAGTGGCCCGCACATTCGTCGAACGATGGGTAGCAAACTTCGGTTGCCCTTCAACCATCACTACAGACCGCGGACGTCAGTTTGAATCTGATCTTTTCCGTCGTCTGACCACACTTTTAGGAATCACTCGCTTCCGAACGACCGCCTACCATCCACAAGCAAACGGGTTGGTAGAACGTTTTCACCGACAACTGAAAGCTTCGCTATCAGCTGCAAACGTTTCACAATGGACCGACGCTCTTCCACTCGTCTTACTAGGTATCCGCAATGCAGTGAAAGCTGACATTGGATACACTGCGGCTCAACTCGTTTATGGAACGACACTTCGACTTCCAGGAGAATTCGTGGATCCTTCGTGCTCTTCGATGAACATGGATCTAACCTCCTACACGAACAGGCTTACAAACGCAATGCGTTCAGTTAAACCTGCTTCCACTCGACCTCAATCAACTGATGTTTTCGTTCAACCTGACTTACGATATAGTACACACGTTTTCATTCGTCGAGACTCGCATCGACGACCATTCGAATCAGCATACGAAGGACCTTTCAAAGTTCTTCAACGTGAATCTAAGTACTATATAGTCGATAAGAACGGAACAAACGATAGCATCAGCATCGATCGCCTAAAAGCAGCGTATTTAGAAGGAAATCCTATTCACGTCGACGTTCCTTCGGTACAATCGCACAACACGACTCCTACACTCATAATTCCTCAACCGACAACCAACACCAGCGATGATACTCCGAATGTATCAGAAAATAAACCTAAAACGACGCGTTCTGGAAGAAGAGTTAGATTTCCAGAACATTTAAACGACTACTGCACGTAAGGCACTACTCGACATTTTATATTATCTCGATTTTTTTTACGATATATAATATTTTAAAAAAACAATTTTAATATGTCTTGAGTATATTTTTCCACTTTCTCGCCGACATTGTGTTTTTACGCACATACGAGTGTATTTCGACATGCACCTACACATTCTTTTTTCTTTTCCAGGACGGCTGGAAAAGAACGATGCAGTTTATGAAGAGTCGAAATTTTCGTTGTAACTTTTTCTTTTTTAACTATGTTTTACCTCGGTCCCATATAGTAAAAAATAACGACCAGACGCTGCTACATTTAGTAAACTATCAGAAGAGTGTTTACCAACGACAAACTCGTTGGGTTTAAACTTCTGGCTGGCCACGTCTTAGGGTCGTCACTGCCCCACTAGGGGGGGAGTGATCTGTAGCGGTAAACAAATCCCCAAAATAAATAGCACTAAGTTTTCGACATTGGATGCTGACAATATGTTTTAGTAGACTTATCTAGCTGAAGGCGCTCGGTCATGCATCCGCACCAGATCACGTGTGAACATCGAAATAAGAGAATTTTAGAGTTGTGTTCAATGTTTTGCACTTCGATTCTGTAGTAAACAAGACATCAGGTGTTTCCTTACAACTGTCTTTAGTGGTCAACAAAGATAGTTTTGTAGCTCTAGAATAGATGGCTTACAACTTGTGAATGAAGATTTATCATCTCTGGTCAGCAAATTACAACACTTTGGTATTTGAAGCGAAATACTGAAGTGAACTTTCACTTTGAAATGCAAGTACATCAAGCTGATGAATTCAAAATAAGACTAATTACTCGTCGTATATTTTGCTGATAGCCACATTGCCGAGACTATAATTTATGGACGGACCAATCAGATTTAAGAGAGCAGGTCTTAGATTTTGGCGCGAGATTCATTCACCTATCTGGACAAATATCATTTCGGCATTATAGCTGATGTCGTTTCGTGATGAAAACCCTAACGTTCAACTATAAATTCAAATTTTAGTTCCTCGCATAAATTCATAACCCTTGTTTAATTCGAGTAATTAGATGAACATTTTCAAGGTCATTTCGGCGTTGTCCATAGGGTCGTCCCTAAATCATAGACACATCGCTACATTCCATCTGCTCTATGACAGTTTGTATCATAATGGCTTTATTTAGTCAATCCACACATATGACAACTAAAACTGATCAAAAAATCCATCGAAATATCAACAACAAGATAATCTAATCCATTTTAAGTTTAACGAACTAGTCTCACTTCCATGTTAACTGACATTTGTTTAGACTAGTTATCTATTATCTAATGAAATTAGAACCCCACAACGGGTTTTTATAACAGTTCTAATAGTATTGTTTAATGTAATATATATTCTTAAACGACATTATTGAAGGAATCAAAATAAGTATACCTTGTAGCGGTAAATAAATCCCCAAAATAAATAGCTCTGTAAGTTTTCGACATTGGATGCTGACCATATGTTTTAGTGGACTCATCTAGCTGAAGGCGCTCGGTCATGCATCCGCACCAGATCACGTGTGATAACGCCGTGCTCAACATCAACCGCGATCGCTAGCCAGATTAGATCAGAGAATTCCGATATATTGGTCATCGCCAAATATACTCTTCCGATCTCCTCGACTCTGTCTGTTGATTTCTCTGGGTGGGAACGAAATACATTAGAAGGCGTTACTGGTAGAAGCGTTGTCAAACACTGAATACCTGTGACATCATCAGCCTTTTTACTTACTTACTTACTTACTTACGCCTGTTACTCCTAATAGAGCATAGGCCACCGCTTGGATTCCCTCCAGGGTCTACTGCCAGTCCCAAGCCCAGATAAAGAAGGAGGGTTGGGCATGGAGTTAGCTACCCTATCCCGTAGAAAACTCACTCACTATAAAAACGCTAACCAGATAAAATTATTCAAAATCATTATGCATCGAAAGCTATTTTATCTTTTAATACAATTAGCACTGATGGACAATTTACATTGTACTGAATGAGAATACCAATGCAGGTGGACAACGATGTATATTAGGATACAAAAATAGATAATGACTTAATAAAGTCTGAAAACCATATAATAAATACTTCATTTTCCAAATCAGTCATTCTCTGTTGTTGTTCTTTTCTCTTTGATCTTTTTAACTTTCTGTTACCAGGCATTTCACCATCGATTAGTGATACATACTACTTATATCTGTTGACATTAGTAGCACACATTATTGTCTCAATGATTTGATTATTTTAATTTCATATTTGTCCCACTAGGAATTATTATCGATTACTATTGTAATCACGTACTAATTCAATTTATATGTTTATTAAGTTTTCAGCTGAGTATCCTTCTTATTCATTTAACCATAGGATCACTGTACATAAAGGCTTTCCATTACATATAACCTCCCCCTCCCCCAGGTACATAATACACATCCAGGCTAGATACAAAGAGATTAAAACTGAATGTCATAATAATGAATGGCGTTTTGTCTAAGTCAGAAAGGAAAAAAACACCAGATCATCCATTTAAATTAATTTTACAAATCTATGATTAAGCTTATGAGTTAAGGTTCTAGTTTGTCCTTAGTAACTAAATGATGGAATTCTGTTAGACTAGGAAAATACCAATAATTTCCTGTAACACAGTGACTGAAACGCATTACATCATCTATTTCTTTATCTTCAGTATCACCAGTCATACGATCTAGCATAAAATTGAAATTTTTTATTTCAGCTGCATATGCTATGAATAATAGACCAGCTTCACCAGATAATGTACCATATGGTTGAGATTGTCGAACAATACGAAATTTTGGCCATGTACCTCTTTCTGCAGCTTTTAATCGAAGAAGAAGGAGAAAAAAAGATAAAAATGAACATTGATAGTTATATCGAAAAAAAGTCAATTCAAAGATATAATTTAAACAGCTAGGATACAATTGGACGATCTAGACTTTGAAGATGAACTGGTTCTTCTGTCGCACACGTAACAATAAATGCAGGAGAAGACGATCAATATAGCAACAGCCTTAGTAACAGTAGGTTTCAATATACACAAAGGGAAAAGCAAGATTCTCCGATACAACACAGCATGCAACAATCGAATCACACTTGACGGAGATTTGGAAGATGTAAAAACCTTTACATATTTGGGCAGCATCAGTGATGAACACGGACGATCTGACGCAGATATGAAGGCGTAGATCAGCAAAACAATTATCAACCAACATCAAAGTCAGAATTTTCAATACAAAAGTCAACAAAGTTCTACTGTATGGGGTGAAAACTTGGAAAACTACGAAACCATCATCCAGAAGATACAAATGTTCATTAACGATTCTGTACGCGAAATACTTCAGATCGGTTGACCAGACAGTATTAGCAACAACCTACCGTGGGAGAGATCAGACCAGATTCCAGAGTTAGAAGAAACCAAAAAGAAGCGCTGGAAGTGAATAGGACACACATTAACGAAAGCACCAAACTGCGTCACAAGGCAACCTATCACATGGAATCCTCAAAGCCAAAGGAAAAGAGAAAGATCAAAGAACACATTACACCGAGAAATGGAGACAGACATGAGAAGAATGAACAACAATTAGATAAAACTACAAAAAAGGCCCAGGATAGAGTATGTTGGAGGATGCTTGTCAGCGGCGTATGCTCCATTGGGAGCGACAGGTTTAAGTAAATAAGTAAGTGAATATACTATTTGTACAGGCTAGAGTGATATATCATTCTTTGAATGTTTATTCAATTTCAATAGGTTAACGTTTTTTAATACTCTTATCAGTTCATAACATACTAATTACTGCAAATATACAAACAAACTGATGAGTAATAACTAGTTTCATGTTGTCCAATTCCTAACACTTATCAAATTCTAACAATCGAAATGTTTTAGAAATGGGTAACAAAAAGCTTTCTGTTGAGTTGGCAGTCATCTCTCACATTTTCCTAATAGGTCTGAAAAAGCTATCATTAACGCTGCCAGATCTTTGACAACTTTACGAATGCCCAAAAACACTGAAAATAGTCTCGGACAAGGAAGACAACAAGAATAATGGGACGCTGCCGTAAACCAGTTGTCAAGCTACAAGTGGATCCTTGGAGGAGATCTTAGTCGGGGGAGTTGTTGAGTCGGCTTACCAGAACTGCGACAGAGCCTTAAGAGGCCCTAAAGGAGGCGAAGAGTTCCAGCTAATCAGAGCATGATGGAGCTTTCTAAAATATCAACGTGACATGCTACTATTGGTCAGTAGCATGGTATGTCTCTTAGAGGATTGGCCAAAATGTAATGTTGACTTAACAAATGTTAATATCTATAAATACCCGTGTTTTTCTGTACAAAAACGAACGTTTGAAGTAAAGTGCTTCTCGTGTATTTTGCGGCTTTTCTCTGTTGTTCAGGTCGGTGTGTAGCTCTAGCTTGGGGGTTACCAGAATAGGATAGGAACCGAATAAAGCGTTCAGTTAGCAAGACTTATCAGTGACGTTGATATTCTAGAAAGCTTCATCATGCTCTCATTGGATAGAACTTTTCGGCTCCTTTAGGACCTCTGGAGACTCTGTTGTAGTTCTCAGAAGCCTACTCAACAATTTCATATCAAATCTTATGGTAACTATAACCAATCGATCAGGTTTATCTAAAATCTTGAAGGTATCGATACTACCGTTTAGAGAGTGATTATTCACTTCTTTCATCAACTAAATCTTCAAATAAATGGAATAATTTTCAATAAGAATGGATGGTAGATAACAGTGAAATCTAGTTCAATATGAACGTTATCAGTAGTATGTACTTTCATCCATGTCCAATTCAAATCTGTCAGGATTGTCGGAAAAAAGACCAATAATTATCATGTTAAGTCCAATGGTGTCCTTGGACCTTAAATGTACATTTCCTATTGGTCGATGTTTACTTCACTTGTTAAATATTTTGTAAATGTTGTTCTCTATTTTATGGTACGATGTGGTATGCTTGACTGCTATATAAACAAAGTATGTTTGAAATATAATGATTCATAACTCCGAGGCTGTGGCTTGTGTTCTTGACTGAACTGGCTAGGACAGACAGCGAAGCAGGGCCAATCAGGGCACTAGGTCGTCCGTATGTGTTTTTCCGTGTCACCGTAACCGATCGATAATAACGCTGCTTGTCTAAAACCTGCAAGTCCCACCCGTTACAACAAAATCTTCAACACTACTGTGTACATTTAATGGTCATTTATGACAATAAGTATAAATTCTCTTTTATTGTATAAAATACAAATAACTGAACATTGTTGAAGAGTCTCACACTAGGATGAAACAGCTTTCCAATGGTTTCAAGTTTCTCTATATTAGTCTAGCTTAGATTGACTCATGGATTCAACTATTAAGATTACCACAATCTCTACCAAACCCTCTTTCTGATTAAAATACAAATAAGTTAATTGATGAGACTATAATTTATGGACAACCTTTGAGTGACGATCGAATGACTTTCATGGTGTTCACTTAATAACTAGGACCAAATGCGGCTTATATACCAGTGTGAGGGACCAGAATTATGATTTACAGTGAATAGTTAAGGATAGGAATTAGATTTAGGATTTTCATCACGAACTGACATCAGCTATGATGCCAAAACTCTATTTATCCAAATGAATGAATGAACTTCGCTCTAAAATCCGAGACCTTTTAGCTTATACCTGATTGGTTCGTCCCGTAAATTATAATTGCGCCAATTAATTATTTCAAAAGTTGAAATCATAAGTCGATTGAATCTAGACCACTATGGAAAACCTGGGAGCACTGGACTGCCGTTTCGTCCTAGCATGGGACTCATCAGTAGTGTTCATCTACGATCCCATACGCTGCGAGTTTCGAACCCAGGACCTATCAATCTCGCGCGCGAGACTTGAATGTGTGTTGATTTAATGTCGGTTATTTATTTACCCTGAAGAAGTGACTTAAATTAAGTTACAAAACGACAGAAATACAATTCTCTTACTCATTTAGGATATAACAAAAGTATGTTTAGTATTATCTGATAAACAGTTTAGAAACTCATTCAAATTTTTTTTTCATTAAATACTTGCTACATAATCCTACGCATTCCCATGTATCTATGAAGGCTATTACTTTGATAGAACAAAAGGAACGACTACATCCAATAATTTCACTTTTCAGCTGTTCAATTTCACATAGAACATTCAAGTGGCTGATAAACACTTAAGTTATGCTGTTCTCAACTTTTCTGTAATATTAGTGAACTAGAACACCAGTATGGACAACCAAATGCGCGCGAGACTGATAGGTACTGGGTTGGAATCTCGCGGGGGGGATCATGGATGCGCACTGCCATGGAGGAGTCTCATACCAGGACGAAACGCCCACCCAGTGCTTAGAGGTTTTCCACAGTGGTCTAGCTTTAATTGATTCATGATTTCAACTATTTGAATTACTAAAAAATCTCCACAAAACCCCTTCTGATAATTGATTATTTCATAAGAAATACGGTAAAATTTATTCAATTTGATAAAGCAATAATAATGATATTGCTTACATCCAATCATTCTTGCAATATGTGATGTAGTAGATTTATCATGTAATGCGAAACTACGTTCAATTGTTCGACCGATCCATTTTTCTTTTATATTATCTATAAATAAATAAGATTTCATAATGTTAGATATATTCTGAATAGAATTTCAATATATATCAATTAATGTGACCAGTAGAGTTAATCGATGTCGAGTAGAAATAAACATCTATCTCAGTATAATGGAAGATGGTTGCACAATTTCATGGATTAGTTGAAGTTAGACATTAACATTGTTGGATATTGACTCAATGATCTAGAGGTTGAGCATTCGCATACGAGACCAAAGACCCTGGCTTCAAATGTTGCAGGCGGGATCGTGAATGAGTGCTGCTGAGGAGTCCCACTGTGGGAAGAAACGGCCTTCTAGTGATTCTAGATTTTCAGTAGTGGTCGAACATCAATCAGTTCATGATCTCAATCAAAAATATTCAACCAGTGATCTCTTTGTAATCTTGACTAATCTACGTCAAGATGAATATTTCTTTTAAAATTATGATTAAACATGGAATTGACAAGTTGGTTCAAGGTAGACTACCATTGTAAAGGTGGAGACACTAGACGATCGTTTCATCCTAGCATGGTACTCTTCGACAGTGTCGACCCACAATCCCACACTCAAGACTCAAATCCAGGACACTCAGTTTAGCTCACAAACGTTTAACCTCTAGACAACTAAGGTAGAAGTGTGCTAGTATTAACTTTCAACTAATTCATGAAATTGCACGACTATCTTTCATTGTTTTCGATGAGTAACCGCTTCACATTCAACGCAGATTTGACTCCATTAGTCATAGCTTCTCACAAGTACACCAGGAGTTCCGCCTTAAAGTTAATCACAAATGAGCATATTATGATTATCAGTATGGAGATTTGTTTATTAAATGCTTGAACGCTAAAGATTCATATCGTTGTTTCATTATTGTCAATATATATCATGCATATTATTCATTATTAAATCAATAGTAAGAAAAAAGATAATATCATGATTTGTTCATATGCATATATACCAAGATGCACTTTAAAAGTAGTGCAATTATATCATTATTTACAAGTAATATCAATCTATAAACATCTATGACTTTGTCGTAAATAAACAATTTAGTACAAGGGAAAGTTATAATAGACAAAAAATGCCCTGTTTTGGCTCAACAATAATAATACTGATCATAATGATGGTATGTCTAGCAGTTACTAAGTTTAAAACGTACATCTGAACATGTTTCTTTGTAATTATGTAACAAAAAAGATCAATCAGATTCGAAATGAACGTATTAAAATAATGGATGGGGAGATTGATTATGAATATAGTGATCTTGAATGCTGTTAGAGGTATAAAGACAGTTATCATTTCCCCGTTGTCTACACCGTGGAAGGGTACTTCTGGAGCTACCTGAAAAAATTGGGTTAGAAGTGAGACGACTGATTGAGGTCGGTCACACACGCCCTTTTTGTGAGTAGTTTTCGTGTTAGCTCCCTATTTATTGGAACCTTACCGCTAGAGACGGAAATCTGTAGGATAAGGTGAGATGTGCATTTTTTGAGTCGACCTTTTCTGACCCCTTCCCTCCTTGTGGGAATGCAGCATCGGCGTTATGCTGGTCATCTGAAGGAAACACCTTACTGCTGTCACGCCTATGTACAGCCATTAGTAAGACTTCGCCTTCGGACCTTGGGTTTGCTGCTATTAGTCTTATCACACTTCAGCCGATCTGTCTGAAATGGTAGAACCTTGATGAAAGATTGTTCCAGCGAGTATATCTCAATCGATTAATCATGACAGGCAAGCCCGGCCACCACATCAAGATAGAATAAACTGTCGGAATAACGGAGAGGTGCTGACTATATTATCAATGACTAACTACAGCATAAATTCTACATTCAGTGTGACTAAAGTGGAATTAAGTTCGACTGAATTTCTTGTCTCATATCTTAATTGGTATATAACTAGTTAATTTTCTTAAACGACACCACATAGTCAGCTACTCACAATTCTATTCATTCGAATATTTATTTTCACGAGAGAAGTTCCTAACTGAATACACACAGGACAATTCATTGTTTATTTGCTTATTACCTGGTGTTGATCGAAGCAAATCCATATCATGAATCCATTTTTGAACAAGACCATAACTTCCGCCTGTATATGTGTTGATTGCTACCTCTGCCCGTTCATCTGGATCTCTCGGATTCATTGTCCCTTGATGCACAGCAGAATACATATTATAAGTATATGCATATGTTATTCATACAAATTAGTTATTAGAAGTTCTTCTAATATAATATCTGTTACATTAAACTACTTTATATCATCCGTATATGTTGAAATGTCAAATTTAATTGTATCCATATGAATGATTTGTCTAGCCAAATGAATAGTTTAAATGATTAATTACAACTTATTTATATAAATAAACGAAATTATAATCAGATGAAAAAGGTGGAAAAATTCATTCATAAACTTAACAGTATTACAATCGACTTGATCAACGTTTGTGAATATATGAACTTTTCTTGAAACAAACCCATCTATCTTCTTATCTTTACGTCACATATTAATCACAGGGGATAGATTATTCAATTTGCTAAGCAGTAATTTCTCTTGCAGTAAGAATTCGCTTCGTTTATAATTCCGCGTAGAATATCGCTTAAAACTAAATGAAACCTGTATTTATGAGTGGGGAGGGGCTTAATTCTAGTTTCCTACGACCGTTTAAATTTTAAAGGGTATTAAATCAAGATGGAAAATAATGTGATGATGTCATAAATCTTCGACAACTGAAATGACTTATATGCATATTATGTACAACAAACAACGTTCTAAAACGATAGGTTATTCCATTATTGAAGGAGTAGGTTGGGAAATAGTTGATGGCATAAAAGCAAATACATAGCATCAATTTGTGAAGGTACTAACTGTTATTATAAGCCATGTCAGATGATTCAGACTACATGGTCAGGATATAAACAGTTTTCATGGTCAATGATGTCAAAGGCTAGGTGATATAGCTCAGAATTGGCAGCGATGAAACAGACGCGTTGACCGTTTTTTCTTTAAATCTTGAGTTTTAAAGTTACTTGATGTTTCCCATTCCGTGAATCCATTTTTCTTTAATAAGTCATATTTTCTGTGGTTACTTTTTTTGTTACCATTGGTAATTTTATTATGTCTAATACGATTATATTCGTCTTGCTGACTTCATCTGATCTCTCGGATATAGTGTGGAAACATGAACCTATACACACATACACTATGTTTTACATCTCTTATGAGTCGCAGACCAATGTAACAACGAAGATAGTTTATCTAAGAAACAACTTACCATCAATAAAACCACTCAAATCACGCCCATTACGATAAACCCATCCGTAAATATCCTCGAATCTGTCTACAGATCTGGGTGGTAAATTATTAATGATGGCTTGTGTCAGTTCAAACAACTTGCCATAATTATTACACTTAGCATGAATAAATATATCTCCGCCTATTAATAAATAAAACATCTTTGAGGAAAAATACTTAAAAGTATTGAATCACTTCAAGACTTTTCGCGAAAAGTATAAATTATCCAAAGACAAAACTGAGGACCTGGAGAATATACTATTGACATTTTTGTCAGTTCTACTGTTTTAACACGTCGCGCTTGGCAACCATACGAGGGATATAGTTAGCATTTTCTCCGTGTTTACTTTAAATGTAATTCTACTAACACAAATTATTAGAGCGATTTGTATGTTCAGTTATTACTAAATCTAGTATAAGCCACTTTAATAACATTTCTTTTAAACAATCTACAAGAAGTGAGCATCTTAAACTATGAATGATTTTCTATGGGTGCGCTAATAAACTAGCTCCGTCTAGAGCTCGAAAGTAAGACTTGGAAGTCTGGTTGCCAACGCCCTGTAAGAACGGTTAGTTTGTGTTTCTCTTCTAATTGAAAAACATCTTTCTAATGGCATGCTACTGACAAAATAACGACGAAATATGAAGGTAATTACCAAGACGCATTTTTAATGAACTTGGTTAAAAAGGTTAGTGGATATACTCAATTAATAGTTTTTGTAACACCGAAACAAACAAAACATGAACTTGCCCGTCTAGGAAGTCTACCCAAAGCCCCTGAACGTTCATGATATTCAAAGGGTTCAACTTTCTTGTGTTCAAAATCGGGGCTGATTTTTCGAAAGAAATCAAATCCGAAACCGACACCATATAGAATTTCATCTTCACGACACAAATGTCTTGGACAAATTGAATCAACATATCTCTAAAAAGAAATTCAAAAAAATCGGAATAATGTATTCAACATGTATGGCTCATTTCTCATTATCATACAAATGAGTTTATGTTGTGTACAGAAGTTAAATTCTGTTGATCTAATAATACATTTTCTTTCCATTCACTAATACAGATGCGTAACAATGAGGCCGAGTACAACCAAAATGCAAATATTAAAAGCATGTCACGCAATAAAATACCTCAATATGTCCAATAGATTCCAAACATTCTTGTGGAGATGCAATAGGGCTCAAGTGGATAGTCAAGAATAAAGAATGTTCTTTAGTTTCACTTATGACCTACAGTAAATCGTTGATAACTCTTTACAACTTACTGATCCCTGAGGAGTCCTATTAACAGCATAAGCATCAGCAAACAATATGTTTTCATACGACATTTTGTATTTTGAATATACAATATAAGCAGTAAACAAAACTCCTAATTGCAAAATGCATCCGAGAACGACCGTTTCTGATGCGAATCTAAAGAACCCTTCAAAGGTTGAAAAACGATATGTGGCAGCAAACGTACATTTAGGAAAATATTTTTGACGCCCCATTACCTTGAGATTTAAATTGGTTCAATGAACTCTACTCTTATATTCACCATGTTAAACACTTTTAATTCATTGCGACAAGCCTGTATAAAGCGCTTGATTCCTTTCCTTTTACTGCATGTTTTTCTATGCATTCGGGTTTCTGGTAACATGCTCTACTAGTTTTAGTCAGAATAGTGGCTTTTACTGTGTTGGTATGTATTGTAATTTGACTGAGTTTATCTCAAAACGGTAGGAATCCGGGTATCCGGAGATACCACATAATCTGAGAGCAGAGTAGAGGTTTCTATGTCAGAAACCGCAAAAATAAAATCGGAACCTAAATAGACCATTGCTTCAAGGAATTAGTGAATCAGTTAAATTCACATGTTATTGTTTACTTAAATCTTCCATTGATGTATAGGACTGCTGGTGATCATTCTTTCATTGGCGTATATGCATACCGCGCGTATTCTGCGATATTGCCTTGGTTCACAGGCATTACAAGCAGAGATGTATAATGGCTAGCAGTGGAATTCTGGACGCGTATTTCATCCTATTTGGGACTAGTCAACATCTCACTCTGGGACTCAAAACCGGTACCGTACTCTTCAAACTCCTGTAGTGACCTACTTTTACCAACAGAATGCGATGAGTGTAATGGAAACAATTATTATTATGATCGATTGTGCCAGGAATTATTTTACCGTGCTTGTTTGTTTAACTGTATTACAAACACACATTCTTCCGTTGCTTGTTACCTTACACGAACTTACATTCGCACGATCTTGGTATTCTTTCGATACCAGGAGATCGCCAACAAATGCATCTCGACTTCAGCCATCAACTGCCTTCTGATATTTGGCTTATGGGGGATCTAAATGGTTAACTGCCATGTAGTCTTCCTGTAGTGGTAACCATATTCAACCGCCACTAGACGCCACGCTATTCGCCATCGCGTCGCTTGCTTAGCTACTGAGTTCTGACCAGTTAATCAATTTGTTCTTTGGTAGTGCACACAATGTCAGCATATGGAAATATAGTGAATAAGAGTAGAATTTGTGATGATAATAAGCACGATAGTAATTAGTCGCTGATGCATGGTAATGATAATCGTGGTGATTCATAAGGCAAGAGCCGGGTAAAGCTAATCCACTGTTTTATAATAAAGGCTTTCCTACTTTCTAGTCAGTTTCCCTCCGAAACTAGGACACTACATAAATGCTGAGGGTTTTGTTCTCTGATCTTCAGAAAGAGGATAAATTTAGCAAGTTATGAGTGAAAAAACAAGCTAATTCATTAAATGGCATCGACGGAGTATCTCCGACTGCTGACTGTGCGTTTGTCGCCATTGGAATTTAAACATTGAATTAGTTCGTAATTATCCTTTGGACCCAGGAAAACGAAATGATTTGTTCTCGTCTGATAGCTTGATCGAAATGACATTCTCACGGATGTCGATCCTAGGTAAAATTGATGCGACGGATTAGGTTGATTGTTAAGGAGTTGGCCGCAAACATCTTAGCGATATCAAAATATTATAGCTCAAGTATTCACTCACTTCCCTATTTTGTGTAGGCATTATATTTCCTAATATTTTGTATTGGATGTCGAAAAACTTTGTATATTTGAAGAAAATTACCTTGAGATCCACTTGTTCTGTTTCACTACACAAATAAAGACCTATCCACTACTAGTCTGGTTACTTCTAGCGATAAAACGAGAGGTGCTCGTCAGAACAAAAAGTACTGTTCAATAAAATACTTTGGAAAATTTTTCTGCGTAATCTTTCCGTTACAACTCTGATTTAAAATTCTATCAAAATACAACATGCCAGTCATTAAAATGAGTCAACATCAAAAACATGTAGGAGATTCAAAGCAAAGTACCTTTCTAAATCTACTGTTTCCATGTAATTTAAGGGATTATATCTTATCGCTTTGCTTACTATCTTCTATTGATCAGTCTCCGGCTTTTTCAAATCTACATAATGATACACTTCTGTGGACAACGTCGATGCATATGCATTAATACTTTTAATCAGTCTATCTGAATACCATCTTTTTAAACATCTCCATGAAAACTATATGTACAATATTGATACGAGTTGGAAAAGAATTGAAGATCCGGCCTCATACTATTTGTAATAAGTCGTGTGGAAATTGCTAGATCCGAGTATTCATAATCCTACTAGGAAAGCTCTTTGTAATATGCAAGATGACATCGACCCATTAAAAGAAACATCATATTTGTTGAAACTCATTTTAGCCAACCTTACTAATCATTAAAAGCATCACAGTAAAATCAGATTTTGTAGTTTAAAAAAGTAAAAAAATTGAAGCAATTCGCATAACTCTGATTATAAAACCAACTAAAAGCATAAGCGCTATCTACTGTGTCTTATGAGATTGCTCTAGTTAGGCTGAAACTTGTCTCTCACGATCCAGAAACATCAGAGATATAGGTTAATATTCAACATCTCTGTAGTTGTAATGAGTGTAAATACTTATATATGGTAGTCATCGTGATATGAGATCACTTTTGTGATACATTCTAGTGAGAAGTCATAGCAAGTGGAATTCGACCAGGTTGATAGTATGATATTCATCACTGAAGCCATTGGATGGTCTTCAAATTATTTTGTAAATTGACCGAACTTGGAAATATGACTCATCGAATTCTGTATTAATTATCTCAAACTGTTGTCATAATTATAAAACTTTGGAACGATGACTCATTCTCTGATAACACCATCAACATATAAAGCATTTGGTTGATAATTAGTGATGATTGAATTCCACCAAGGATCAATCAGCTTACTTCAAGCGTAATATGTTTTGAAGAAGGAAAGTTGTACTGTTTATTGACTATTATCATAAAACTTTCAAATAATCTCCTAATAAAATTCCAAGATAAGAATATTAATTTACGACGGATTCTTTTTTGAAAATAAAGTTTGTGTATTATGATTTATAAATAAAGAATTTTGTAAAAAGGACAATCGGCAGCACAGTTGGTTCCTTTAATCCAAATGTATTGTTATTGTGTCGAAATTCGTTTTAAAATCAAGCAGAATGATCAAGGACGTCCACCAGTTCAAGTTTATCTTTATACAATCACAGCTTATTCAGTCATGAGTGAAGTGGAACCTGGAATATATATGTCAATTGACCCAGGTTGTCAAATCATATCACAATAGTAAAACAGAATTTCTGAACATGAATAACAGTAGAAGTATCAATAATATCAGTGGTGAGAGAAAATCGAGCGTAGAGACTATTCAAGAAGAGGGAATGGACTCATGGAATAAAAGGTGTAGAACAATTTAAAACTCAGGATACAGGAGAAAAAAGAGTGAGCGGATCTGCATCATTGCGGTAGATTTAGATACATTTAAACTAACATTTGGATAAATGCATAAACTTCGCCGAGATATATCAAACTCACCAGCACATCTTAGACCATCATTTATTAATTTCAAGGATTGTTGCTGCATTCCATTTGTCTGTTCATAACTCTCTTCCAACCTAATGCAATCACAACCGGAGTTGAAAGACCCTCAAAATCCCAATAATCTTTTACCATCTATGTCCATTACCGCATGTCGTCCATCGGGATTAGTCACTTAGTGACATCGCAAAAGAGCAATATTTTGATCGAATACTAATAACTTATGGATGTTTTCTACTGTTTTCGAAGAGGAGTAGAGCATCCCAAACTCAAGTTAAACAAAAAACTTGGTTCAACAGAGAAGTCAAATTACTAGTAGTATCAGTGATAGAGAACTATGCTTAAGAATCATAGTTTGAGTAGAATGAATAAAATATAGGGACTAAAGTGCGCTGATAATCGAAACCCCGAGTCACCGAAAATAATGGAAACGACATACACCACTTCAACGAATTTTGACCGAAGTCCTCCGGATATCCTTACAGAATATGGATATCGCCTGAACCTCAACATTGCGAAGTTTAGTAGTCAACACTGACTCGTTCACTTCTGTACTTCTCCTTACTTGACCCTATGTTAGTCACCATCAAATGTACGAGGCAAGAGATGCAAGGTATAAATACCACATGCCTGGAATACCTAATTTAATGAAAATCTGTAGCGTGACCAATTTAACCACCATTTCTTTGCAATTCTAAAAAGCGTCTACCACCACCTATGACACTACGTATCGCTAACTTTCATGTTTCTCAGCAATAGAACTATACGAGAAGACTGTTGAACAGTAGAAATTTCCGACATAGAGCCCACCATTCAGCCAGTCATAGGCAACGTATAACCTAATTGTTGTAGAAGAGATGAGGTGTAGACAATGTTTCAAGTGGAGGGGAGGAATTCAAGGCTCATCAAGGAAGATGAGACTTCCAAGGTGAGTGAACTGTTTAAGACGATTACCCTACTGTTAGTTAAATTGAAAAAATCAGTCGATAGGAAACATCCTAGTTATTTTTGTTATTCAGTGAGGTTAGAGCATTCTAAATAACGTCAGCGCTTTTTTTAAGAAACTAAACTGAACTATGCCATCTACATACGCAATTACGCTACATCTCAATAGATCATGAACAAAGTCGAAATTAGGTTATATATTTCATTTAAATATGTTCACTCATTACAAATAAAATAAAATAAGATATTAGATTTTATTGTCGCCAAAATCCCCATAGACCACCGCCAACTAAACGATCAAATTCTGGTACACTAGGAAAATACCAATAATTCCCAGTGACACATTTGGTAAAACGCATTACATCATCATTTTTTCGATCTTCACTATCTCCAGTCATTCGATCCAGCATGAAATCGAAATTTTTGTGTCAGCTGCATATGCAATAAATAGTAGACCAGCATCGCCGGATAAAGTTCCGTATGGTTGAGATTGTCGAACTATTTTGTACTTTGATGGAGCATCATAATCTGCAGCTAATTATTGTAAGAAAAACAAACACCAAAGACTATATCATTAAGTTTAAAAAATATAAAATATGAAATACACCATGCTGAAGTAAAAGTACAGA